TATATATAGTCATTGTGATAACACACCCAACGATCAAAAGTTGAAACGGATTCAACGGATGCAGTATAATTATAGGTATTATAGTTCAACTTTTCTCTTTACAATATAATATACCTATTATAGCTATTTCACATAACATTTTAATGTTCGCGACGTGTTGTAATTTACAGGTGATCGTTTTGGGCCACCGCGCGATTTTTCGAAATAGGCATACGTAAACTGCGCACAAATGACCTTTTTTTTTTGTAAACTGCGTCCGAAGTTTTATCTACGTAAAAAAGGTATAGGCAATGTAAGCTGCGCCAAAATTATTATCTATAATATGTTGATATCCATGTTAAAAAGTACAACTTAAGCTGTGCCACGTTTGACTTGGTAAAGTCACTATGATTGTGTACTTTTTCAATAATTATATCTTAGAAATATTATTTTTGTCTAAAAATACCAACACGTTATCGAATATGTATCAACAATATGGTTTTTTTGTCCTAATATTGTACTTTTTAAAATTATATAGATATTTTTACATTTTTAATTTAATTTAATTCTATTAACTATTTGTATTTTATGGATGTAACGAATTAAWGATTGTAATTTTCGATTAATAATCTTCCAAAAATATATTTAGGTATTCAATTTTAAAAGTTTTTCCCGGGTGCAGTTTACAATGACACCTTTTCACTTTTGATAAAAACTCGGCACAGTTTGCATGTACGATTTCAAGGTTTACCTGTACYTTGGGCGCAGTTTACAATCGCCGTTCTATATAGACACGCCCTGTTGTCTGCAGTGTCTCATTYGGATAGCTTTTTGGATTTGTGGATTAATCATATGAAGCCGCAGATGGTTGTATGTTGCAAGGCACCTATGTAAGTATGCACACCAACTAATCATTTTTCAGATGGATAGGTTGGCACGTATGACGTGCACTGACGAACGATTTCGGCGGGATTCGCTGACGTGCGGCAAATTGAGATTATATGGAAAATGCTGTTCGGCGGATAGACGTAGGCACTACTACGCGCCCGCAGATTGAATGAATAATGAAGCCAACACTTCGGCGTATTGAAAAATATGAACCGAAGTTAATTTTTGAGATCATAAATTATTTGAAGCCTGGATGATTTCTGACAGATGCGGATTAAAGCGCGTTTAAAAAAAAAAAAAAAAACTGTTCCGACGAGCAGTGTGCCCATTATTATCATCACGCGATACGTGTATTTTGTACGTTTGAAAATCGCAGATGCAAAGATATTATATATRGTAACAATAATATAATATTGTGAATCGCATTTCTGCATCGCGTTACGCAGTACTGTTTTGTAGTTATATCTGCGACGAACCTTTTTACCRACTAATAAAACCGTTTCGCGAATTATTAAATACTGCACATGCACACCGCAGGTACCCATCAGAATCATATGGGGTACACAAAATAGATTTCGGTTTGTAATTTTGATTAGTATATAATATACATTAYACCTATATGTGTGCGACCCCAATTGGAAAGTGCGATGTATATAGATAGGTAGTTGACAATGCAAATGACAATAATATATAGCTGAAGCAGTATTACGCCCTGATTTTGCTACGCGCGTATACCTATATAAACGTATTTTATATTATTATTAAAATGAATAATAAAATAATTATACGTCGTTGTTGTGCACACGTATAGTCGTACCTATCATGGTAGAATTCGATTATCCAAATTAGTGTTTCCTTTGTTGCGGATGTTATGCGCACACTGCAATATTATGCATCTCAAATTGTATTACATAGCCACATAGGTATATCGATATACGCGCAGGGAAACAGCTTTACCATAATATATATATATATATAGACGACCGAACTGCAGGATAATGACGTAGGTATAGCTTACATATACATAACAAACGTAATATGTGTGTCGAAGAGGTTTAATTGCGCAGGAAATTCGTCTATATTATTGTATAGCTAATAGTTTGTACACCGTCGCCGTGCAGTGACCCAGTGACCGATCCGATTTAAATGTACTAACGGATACAACAACAACAACAACAACAATAATAATAAGTACCACATAAATCCCATTTCATATAATAACAATGTTCGAGTACCTATATATACATGTATTATAGTTTTAGAATTTCCACGAACACAGCTGTTAATGTGGTGAAATGATATAATAGGTACATGTATAAAACCGATATCGTTGTTTTCTGGGTTAAAGCAACGGTCAGTGTTGTTTTTTTTATGTCGACGAGCTCAAGCAGGGTGGTCGTGGTATGTATAAAACTTACCTTGTCCGTTGGATTCCATTCTCGAGGCTGTGTTGACTGTGTCTCCAAATAAACAGTATCTCGGCATTTTAAGTCCAACCACACCAGTCACACAAGGTCCTACGGACAGATAAAAGCAGATATTTCTCAGATAAGTATAATTCTATTAAAACACAATAATCATTTGTTAAAAAATAGATGTATACAATCTAATCATTTTGCAAAATTTGCATTAATAAATAGTGTTTACATTCAAATGTCAACTATTTATTATGGTATATTATCACTTTTTGTATCACGAGTGTTTTATATTGTGAATTTAAAATTTTAGTCGGTCATATTTTAAGTAAAATGACATGATTGTAAAAATGCGTTTCGCTCCAAATATTTTATGGAACGCGAAGGAAATCGTATTAAAATTTTACATAAAAATTAACTAGAACTAGGTATATTATTGTATAGCTCCCCGAATGTTCAAAATATGTTTTTTTTTTTTAAAATAAATAAAGACGTGTTAAAATATCTGCATTAAAATATAGTTTAATAACGCAGACGATTAAAAACAGAGCGATTCTTTTTCGACGTCTTAATTTGATTGTTTATTTACGACTATCATTTTTATGAACCACCGACTAGGTACTATATACTGTATTAAAATATCAGACAAGCTATAAAAACAACGGCGTCGTAAAAACTCACTGTTTAAAACATTCAATTAAATTTTAATAAAAATCCATCTGCGCGCGTGTGTGTGTATTCGAAATGAATACCGTATTCCTCGAAGACGCGTCTCATAATATAAGTACCTATAGGTAAATACAGGGTGATTCGCCGAGCATGCTCGACCCTTTTTATTCTTTATTAATGGAATTATTCAAAATCTGATTTTTGGAATCTTTAAAYGTACTCAACGACGGTATATTATTCAAATTCTTGAGATTTTTGTACCACTTAAGGAGTGTCACGTGACTATATAAACTTTTGTTTTTCAAACGAGAACCCTAATTGTTTACTGTAAATTATTTAGCGGAGAATTTTGGTGTATTAAAATCAAAACTCTAATGTGCAGATTTTTGAGTTATTCAATTTAGTGTTCTAAGATAAAAGGTCCATCGTTTAGGTTTATAAGATATGTGGTGTATGGTGAATTTGAAAATATTAGTCTATATTAATATAAATAATTTGTAAAAACGACCAAAGTATCATAATTCATAAAAATACTAGTTCCAATAGTACGAGTATTTTATACTTTTGTAAAACGATTTTTAAGGACTATTATCTTTGGTGCGAATATTTTAATAACTAAGGAACACTAAGAAATTATTTTTTCGAATTTTGATTTCGATACATCATTATTCTCAAAAAAATTCTCAACTAAATAATTTACAGCAAATAAAGAGGGGTTCTCATTTGAAAAACAAAAGTTTGTATCACCACAGGACACCCCTTAAGTGGTAAAAAAAATGTAAAGAATTTGAAAATACGGTCTTTGTGTATATTTAAACGATTCCAAAATAAGATTTTGAATAACTCCATTATAAAAGATGAAAATGGGGCGAACATGCTTGGTGAATCACCCTGTACATAGGCGCCATCTAATAAATATTRTATTTCGAAATTTTATTTGAAATCTCAATCACTCGTTATTTTTGTGAGCACTCACAACTATAATACGCGTATACCTACTCGCAATACTCGCATAAGCGGATTGTTTAACAACGGTTGCTGCAGTTTAGTTATATTATGATCGTATATTATTGTTTTCGGTTATTATGTTTAAAAACCCATCGAATGATTATTTCGTGCGAGATCGTCCGGGCTGGTCGATATTTTATCGCGTTCACAACTCGTAAAATAAACCATAAAGCTGCGTTTGCTTGGAATAATATTATCAGCGACGCGCGGACGCAATCAAAGGGATCACACATAGTGCTGGRCCGACCGATAAATGACATAATATAATATACTCGGAAACTCGGTCAACGCCATCAATAATATAATATATTGTATTTCCGTTTATCGCATATATTGTTGTATAACTTCCGCGCGCGTGTGAAGTATAATTTTATGCAGTGGAACTTTAAACATCGTACCGATGATGTTTTAGAACCAATTAGGTATTTGAATGTCATCGTCTGCAGTGACGGCCTCAATATTTATTTTGCAGTCGAAATACAATTTTTAATATTTYCATAAATTGTAAAATATGTTAATTATCAGTTGTTTTCGTGGACTCAAACGAAAGAGTACCTACCCACGTGCCAAATTCTGTAAGTGTATTATTAGTCACATCGCATTACATATTTCGAAATTATATTAACAATCTACAATTTCTGAATTTCAAGTTATCGATTATGTTGTGCGATGGTTAATTTTTTCGTATTTTTCAGTACACCGAACTTTGTAAAAATAAAAGTCGTAAAATATTACAAACATTATAAATACAGTGAACGTTTTTTTTTGTATTAGTAAAATGCCTTTGGAACATACATTTTTTCCTCTCTAAAAAAAAAGCGTTTAAAATCCACCACTGAATTCAAAAGTCTTGTAATTCATCACGAAAACGGTTTCATTCTAATAACAACAACAATCTTAAAATGTAAATGTATTGTAAGCAGATATTTTATTTTATTTTTATTATTTTCAAGACCAATAAAAAGAAAACAAAAACACTCTGGTTGTCGTCTACAATACAAATATTAAACACAATAATATATTAATATATAATAAATATATCAATAATATACATGACTACATCACACGTATATGTGTCAWTACGATCTGCAGATCGTAATTTATTAAGAAACGTTCTCGAACTTATAAAACAAAACCGAAATGTWATTTTAACCATCGAGACTATAAACTTTACACGTGGGTACTAAAATATTCACGTCACTAGCTGATATTGATCTAACCAGCTAACCTAACCGAACATCTCATTTAATATAATATTTTAATTTTAATTAATACACTTTACACATCCAACTATAACGATGCGCAATAAATTAGTCGGGTCGTGTTTGTGTTGTTATTGAGTTATGGACGAGTGGCGTAGACCTTATTTGGCCGGATATCATTTCGAAGTCGTYCGAACTTTGAACTATTCGCCGTCCGAAGCTAAAGTTTTACAATTGGCATATAGTTCGGACGGACACGAGTGCTTGTGTAGCCATCTCCGATGTAGATAATTCAAGATAAACAAAGACGGAAGATAATAATATATATATATTATTATCATCGTTCTGTAATGCAAAAACCCGAGCTCCTCCCTACTGCAGTTCCTACATTATAATAATATATGTATAAACGCGTCGTTATTTATCAGCCTCTTCGGAAAACGCTATTTGGATTAAAATATAATGCAATACACACCACGCCGTGCTGTTTGCCGAAACATTCTATTTATATTAAAATATTCCACACTCACACACTCACATCACACACATATCCGTCTGGTGTATATTGATAAATACGTTTTAAGTTTTTTTGGTAATAGTTTTTCGACACGAAGTCGATCACTGCGTCCGAAAAACTAACTAATTTTTTGGGACACGAGTAAACAACAAYGATTGTTAATAATAATTAGGGCTCGGATTTTAATGCTTAATAAATAACAAAAAAAAAAAAATTCCACTTGTAATGGTCACTTCAAACGGTGACTCGGGCAATTAAATTTTAATTCTTTTTAATTAAATAGTATTATGATACCGGCTCACGGTACTATTTTCAGTGGTATATCTCAACTTCCGCTGGAAAGTTTTCACCAAAATCAATTTTTCCTTACACAATATGATGATCGCCCGCGGTTTTTAGACAAATTTCAACGCTTAATACAATTATTTTTATATAGGTGATGATATAATAATACTATTGTCGTTGTTGTTTTGCGTCACTGCATGGCGTGCAGTTTCAAACGAGACGCAAACGATTTATTCGCCAACAAAACTGCAGTTGAAAAACAGGTGAAT